CTATATCATCCATATCAACAGGCACAAACTTCTACCGCATTTCAAACGCGTTGTTAACGTGATTATAAACTTCAGGATACTACTTATGTCTAAGTGTAAGTACCTCTGCTAGCATGATTGTAGATGTCTAAACTGCACTGACCTACAAAAACAATATAGGTAATTAATATATTTAAACAATTTCATTGAACTAATAGCTAAGTACAAGACTAAAATAATTTGTAGGTCAATATAAACATACCGATTGGTTCTCACAACCTCGAGGTCTCATTATATACTGTGGTTCATGAGCAGGAACCGCATATTTTTCTTCCCGGTTATGAGGTTACAATATGTATTTGGGTGGGTTAGCAACATTATGTATTGTAGGATGGGACACTAAGTTGTACTAGGCCTTGTACTCCTCTGAGGGCAACCCATCGACAATATCTTCTTCAATATCAGGCATCATGCGGTCATGGCAAGTCAACTAGTGTTGGATTTTGTCTGCATTTATAATTTGCCAATCTCACTGTCCACCTTGTTCGCTAGATCTCTTACCAACAGACAAGGGATTTCTTGGACTGGCAGGTTTAGCTCCAAATTGTCGACGAACACGATCTGACATGTATGGCTCGACAATATCGTCAAATATGAGTGTCGTTATGCACATGGCAGTTTCAAATGTCTGCTGCCTATCATCTAAAATGATCTCATCAGGCTTGAAATAGGGATTCCATATTACCTATTATAGGATATACACTCAGTTAATAAGAAAAATTACAAATACTTAAACACACTAACCTCATTAGGTTAGAGGTTATCCAATTCTTGTCTAATGGGAGGCATTAGGTAATGTGGATTGCCATAATAATTTTTCGGTGGCTCCCATTTTTTTGCCTTAGGCATATTTGGACAGATACTATGCGGTATGAGTCTCATATGCATAATATACTCATACGATTAACACTGCATTATATCAAAATATGATAAGCAATAAATATTTTTAGAAAGCAGTCTAAACTATTACTCTTATGTCATATACAAAATAATTTACCTGCATAAGAGTGGCTAAACCACTAAAATGTCTTCTCTTGAAAGTACAAGCTTTTTCAAGGGAGCGATAAAGACATGCAAGGGCTGTAGCACCACAAGCAGATTTGCCGGCTTTCTCAATATCTCCAAAGAATTGCAAGTACCTTGTTGGCACTGTTGAAACTGACGCATAAGCGAAAATGGTGACGCTGACGAGGAAGAGCAGATATGCTCTAGTATATCTAACAACTTCGACATGTGTTGTATCACGTGGCAATTCCCTAAAATTGGCCTTCAACCATGTATGCCTTAGGACTGTCAGGTTGCCATCAAGGACTATACCTAAATTGTCTTCTATATACTTTCGCAGGTCACTGATAGGACGACATGTAATTGGGTCGCCATCCATAGCCAGTCCTAATATCTCATACACATCAAATAGAGTTGGTGTCATCTCACCAATTTGAATGTTGTAATGGAATGCATTGGTTTCAGATGCCACCTCTCTACATTGGCTGAGACAAAAGGATGATCAATTCAGCCTGACTAAATAATATATAACGCACCCAACCCAAATGCGTTCACTGATTGAACTTGCTCATCTGTTAGATGCTAATCGTTTAATTGAAAAGTCTTCTCATCAATTTTAATATCTTGTTTCTCTTGAAATACAACAAATAGACAACATATTAGTCCAAATGTATATACATATACTTCTCATATGATATTTAAATGTGACTACAATTTATTGAAAAATAACAAACTAATAAAAAAGGCAGATGAATATATGTATATACTTGTCCTTCCCATATGAAATATGATGCATGTTCTCGATGAAGTTGCATCAAACTAAGGTCCTGAGGACCTCCAGGGTATCCTCCATCAGGATGTACACGATTCATATTCATTGAAACCCCACATGGTCACCATGTTCGTCACAAGGTTACATATGTAAAACTTAACTGAATAACAAAAAAACAATAATGACATGCTATTATTAAACAGAAAAATTGATCAATTTTAGACCATAACTGGTGTTATGGACCTAAACAAACCTATACTACTATATCAAAAGAACCTAAAGTTATTAAACCTAGTGTTATTGACCTAGTGTTATAGACCATAACCTAATACTACTCTATCAAAAGAACATGATAATACAATGGAATAAATATCGAGACAACAATAACTCATAATGCATTTGCATAAATAATCAATGAAACAATGTTAAGTCACAAATCGAATGAGCTCTCAAATAAATCTAGTCATAAATTATTCTATCCAAAATATAATTAACATAGATCATATACGATGTTCAAATGTTCAAAGTAAATATGTACTTGAATCATAAATCTAGTCACAAATTACTTTGCAAAATCTAGTCATTGTTACTTGAATCATAAATCAAATAAATCTACTCACGAATTACTTTGCAAAATGTTCAAAGTAAATATGTACTTGAATCATAAATCACATACAATGTTCAAAGTAATTATGTACTTGAATCATAAATCTAGTCACGAATTACTTTGCAAAATGTAGTCATTGTTACTTGAATCATAAATCATAATTCAAATAAATCTACTCACGAATTACTTTGCAAAATGCTCAAAGTAAATATGTACTTGAATCATAAATCGTAAACAAATTTTCATTGTTAAGCTACTCAATCTGTCAACAACAAAAATCCACCATTTACTGAGACATCATTAAATCTAACACAAATTTGTACTTAAAACTATCTAAGAGTATAAACCCCCAAATTTTTAAAATTTAGAGTTCTACAAAGACCACAAAATTTCAAGTTCTCAAAACCCCCAAATTTTATAAATCTTATACAATCAAAATGGAGCCACAAATTAATTAAAACTAAATCAATTTCACAAGAAAGAACTAGTATGCTTGAGTATAAACCCTAAACAAATATCAGGCAGTAATCTAAATCTCTAAAATCTACCCACATGCCTTCACTCTGTGAAATGCCTTCAAAATCCGAGAAATGCTGTCAAAGATGCGTACTATTGAAAATCTGGGAAATTTGTGAACTTGCTACTTTTTTTTAACACCGAGAGCGCAATTACGCGCACTCACATAGCAGCACATAACAAAACACAGATAACAAAGAAGATGGAATGATAAAAAGCTATCGGGCTCATTTTCGGTTGTTGAACAATCGAATTAAATCTATTTTCGGTTGTTCAACAATCGAAAATGAAAATGTGAATGTTAAACTTTCGAGCTATTTTTGGATGTTGAGCATTCGAAAAACCATTCAATTCGGTTGTTCACATCCAAAATAAAGGTAAAGCCCTTTTTTTTTTTTAAAAAAAGGCCATTACAAAAGTTTATATATATATATATATATAAAATAACAGAAATCGTAAATCCGCGATAATGCAAAGTGTAACGGATGTGTATGTCATTTTCCCAAAGATAAAATTTAGTTGGAGAGATTAGAGGAGGAGATTGAGCTAAAAAGAAGTTAGAGATCAGTACATGCAATAATAATGAAATAATTATCTTAAACCAGTTAAAAAAATCAATCACCGTCATTAACAGGCACTTATACGTGCTCGCTGCTCTCTCTCTCTACACTCTCTGTGAAAGGAAGGCCTGCTCTCCCTCTCCTCTCTCTCAAAGGAAGGTATTTTCTATTTTTTTTGTATATTAAACTAGTGGGTTTTTCTTGAAAATAGCTCCCTCTCTATATGTTATCATTTGTTTGTAAATTAAATTAGAGTTTTTTTTTTTTGGAAAATAGTTACTCAACCTGTTGCTCAAAGTGTTCACTATTTTTTTGTTTCATCTTTCAAGCATTTCAACCTAGTTTTTTGCTTTATCTTAGAGGCATTTCAAATGGTTCAGTATGTAATTTGGAAAAATATTAGAGAAATTCCAAGTGATGGTATGTAACTTGGAAAAATATTAGAGAAATTTCAAATGGTGGTATGTGACATGGAAATATGTTTAAGAGAAATTTCTAGCTTCAAGCCTTTCTGCTATCATTTTTTTTTTCCCTTTTTGATTATTTGTTTGTAGCTTCAATTTTTTCAACAAGTTTCAAAATCGAATTTTAGGTAATAAATGCATTATTAGGATTTTTTAGTCAATGTTCCTTTTTCTGTTATATATATTTTTATTTTTTATTTACAAAATCTCTTTTTACTCGTTTCTATTTTCTTCTTCTTCTTCTTCTTTCTTTTTTTTTTTTTTTTAATTTCTTATTGCCGTATGGGTTTTTTCTCGGATAATTTTTTTGCTCAATGCTATTTATTGGCTTATTTTTTATTTGTTATTTATGGCTTTCTTGCATCTCTAAAAAATCTTACAGGGATGTAGTCCAGAAGTCTATGATTTATACTATTTATAACCTTTTTTTGGTGATTCATAGTTTTATTGCAGCAATAGTTCTTAGAAAACTGTACATGGATATGGTCTAGAGTTGATGATTTATGTTATTTATTAGTTTTTTTTTTTTGTTTTATGAGTTTATTGCAGCACTGGTTCATAGAAAATTTTAGAGGGATATAGTCCAGAAGATGATGATTTATGCCATTTATTAGTCTTTTTGTGTTATTTATTATTTTATTGCAGCACTGGTTCGTAGAAAATTTTAGAGGGATATAGTCTAGAAGTTGATGATTTATTATTTATTAGCCCTTTTTTGTTATTTATTGATTTTATTGCAACATTGATTCATAGAAAATTTGTGATAATTTTATAGGGGTATTGTCAAGAAGCCGATGATTCTACCATGGCTATTCATACCTCCAGTTATGAATCCTTCTCTGCACATGGTTCTCACAAGCAAGATTATTTTGATCCAAGGTTTCGCAGAGGCCGCATAGTAAAGAGCATGATGTTTCCCATTGTGGCATTCATGATTGTGGTGCTCCTTTTGACTTATATGTCTTTTATAAGCAAACGATTTCACATTCATGGTAAGATACTAGCAATTGATAATGATTTTGTTAATTTTACCATTATTAGTGGCTAGTAATCATTTAGTTTAGGGATATTTGAGTTTGTCATGTATCAATTTTGTTGTTATCATTTTCAATTGATTGGTAATTTAAGTTCACTATACAAATTTTCATGCATACAATTGTGACAGTCATACCTTCAATTACCTCATCGAAGATGGCTTCAGTGAGATAAATTTCCCTTAAAAAATGAATCTTATTTATTGGATTTTTTGAAATATCTGATAATCTTCTTATCACTAGATGATCATAGTTTTTGGATGCTAGATATCCCTAGAAAACCATTTTCTTATGCATGTTATGGAGGATCTTTGTTTGCAAATGAAGAAGTTGAGTTGTAGATGTATCCTTCGTTTGTATAAGCATCATATTATGGCACATAGAGTACTGAAACTTGATTGCCTGTAAAAAAATATTTTATTTGTGGGATTTATTATTAGTTTGCAATTGCAGTGCTTTGTTTATCAATAATTAGGGGTTTTTGAATGTATACATTTCATGATATTTAGGTGTACGATCTGTATGTTTTACGTGCTTCATTTTTTTGTTTAATAATATTCTAATTTTCATTATTTAGTGGCTGGGTTTTGAAGAATGTTATAGATTAAATTTTGTTATTTTGACTTAGATGTATATTGTATGAGTTTTGAGGATCATACTTATTTTATTGTTTTTGGATTCATTGTTTTTGGCTGGATTGTTGACTGATTGTTTTGCTGCTTTTATTATTATTGATGTGATCTTAGTGTTGTGAATCTCAATGATGAGGTGTTGGTTTCTGATGTCTCACAATTATTTGGAGGTTTCTGATTTTTGAATGACAAGATATCATCACAAAAATTTACCCATTTAACTTCTTCTAGGTTGTTCAGTTTGACAATGAAATGAAAATCACCTCCTAGGTGGTCTAGAAGCTCATCACATACAATTAATCCTTGTAGTTTCTCTTTGTTAACATTTTGCCATTTTTATTATTGATTTTATAATTATTCTTTGTATCCAATTCTTATTATCCTTTTCATGTGTCACATTGCTCAGTTTGTGATGTGGATTCTGAACTGGATTTTGAAAGGTTACGATATTTCAAAGTGGCTTTGAGATATCGTTTTCATGTGTCACATTGCTCAGTTTGTGATGTGGATTCTTATTATCCTTTTCATGTGTCACATTGCTCAGTTTAGAAGCATGGTTGATGTTTTGTCGTTGGGACTTGATTCCTTTAATGATCATTTGTTCGAAGCAGGAATTGTAGAAGCCATCGTGCAAGAATGTAATAGTCAAGACTAAAAAGAAAAAAACAATGTACATGGTTACTATTGCTACTTATTGGGTATTTGTTTGCTTTGTGGACATGAATGCTTGCAATTTTAGGGCATCCACGGATTCTCTTCCCTCCATCTCTGCAAAAAAAAAAAAAAGATCGTAGAAATGAACTAACATGGATATTTGCATACAAACCCCTTTTGATATGATAACATAAAAACTTCTATTTTATGTTAAAAACTGAAAAGGAAATTACAAGGAAGTCTGTAATACCAGTTTGTCACAGAGGCACAAACACATGCTTCAAATATCCAATTTGGTTTTGCAAATGTCAAAAGGTAATTTGAAGGAGCAATTGGATTGGACTGATATATCCCAATAACATGTTTACTATGTGTCGCAAAGTTCTCTCTCTCTCCGGCCCCAATCTCTCACTCTTTTTTTTAATGCTTATAAGGTTGAATTTATCTGCAACTGCAAGACATTCTTTTGGGGTATAATAAGATGTGGTTTTCCTTTTAATTTTGACCATGGTAACTAGTTCCCTTGGAAATTTAAGTATTCACTCGCAGTCATGCAATTAATTTTTTTCAATGATGTGCTACACCTTCCCACTCTCTTGCATCATGGAGTTGTAAGGCTTTCCAGTTATCTCACGGATTTTTTTTAGTAATTAATCCATTTTCAGGATCACATGCATCTTTTTATTTGCTGATGCATGTTTAGTTCACCTAGTGTAGATGAGTTTGAGGGGTTTTTCGGCTATTTATTAGAAAAAGTGGCTATGATTGTTATTGCATGGGCACCCAATAATGGTTTCTCAGTAGGAGACATTTTGTCATTTTATATTTTCTAAACGATAGAAATTTTGATGAATTGTTGATGATGATACTCGAGAGTTACTCAGTTCAGGCTCATCGTTAATGGTTGCCCAATGAAGAAAATAAGCCACAATAGATATTTAGAGAATAATTGCAATACGTGAAATTCAGTAAATGTCCAAGATGTGTGAGTCCCTTCATTGCAGCTCTAACTAGATATGGTTCTTTATGTGGAGAATGGTTTGAGTTCATGCCATTGGGTATCCTCCGACCCCTATCCATTACCAGCTGTTAAGAGTTAACATATGACGAATTGGTCTAAGGTGCTTGTCTATCTTAGTGACAACTTATTTTAAATTGCCAATTGACGCATGCAATTGTTTGAGACCATGTATTGTCTTACTGGGACTTCCTTTCTTTCGTAACCTTCTTGGAATATATTTTTGACCTGTTCATTGGATTTTGTCCTGAACTGACAATTGAGTTGCAACCAGCTGTATATCCTGAGAGGACGCATGGTCGGGACATTCGATCCTAAGGCAGACTAGAACTCTTATTTTGTTGCCTTTTGCCAGTAATTTTGAAGAGCAGCTTCTGTAAGTCGGGTGCTTGAATTGGTGAAAACACTAAAATTAAACTTTTTGGAGTGGTTAGGTGTGGGATGAAACAAAAAAATGGAACAAGGTGGATGATTACCTTTCAGTTAGTTACTTGGTTGAGATGAGGTGTGGCTCTTGACAACTTTATTTGTCTCTTAAGTTGGCACTGCTACTTTGGAGAAGTGAATGGAAAAATTTATGTGTAATGTTTTGTTCTCCCTGTTTTCCTCGCTAGATGAAGTGTGATAAGTCGCCATTCTGATATAACTTGGATGTGTAATTGGTAATGTTAAATATTTTAACTTTTCAGAAGATTGACTTTGTCCTAGTATCATATTATTGTGTATAAGCCCTCATGTGCACTTATGATAAATTTTAATTTGAGGATTCATGAATGAGATTGAAATTGTCTGTTTATAGACAGTTATACGGTATATTGATTTGACTATCTAAGATTACAAATGTTACTAGATTTAAAGTTTTTTGATGTCTTTTTTATGTGTTATGGGAATTAGGGATTCACAGAATGTAATATTCTATGTGTTTTACATTAAATTCTAGACTCAGCCATGTGAGTGCCGATCAGATTGCAAGCCCTTTTCTTACATTTACCATTTTTCTTTGCTCTTCAACAGGGGGTAAATAAAGGCATGGGGCATGGTCGAGCGGCCTCCTTAGTTAGAGTTAAGCAATCAATTGATTTGATTAGTAGCGATTAGGAAATGCCGAAATTTGCTGAATATCTGGCACAGGTCGGAGTCATTTAAATGTGGTCATACGAATTACAGCAATGTGATTGAAATGGATTTGTAGTCATCTGTGCACCTTAAGATTTTTTTAGCCTCCATATCTAGGCAAAGAGCTATATGGGATGCTACCCCAATGATGATCTATATAAGATGCAACCCCAGTGATGATGTTGCCTATTTGTCGAGGCTGGGGTTCAATTTATCCTCCAATCCTCTATTTATGCCTACTTGCTTCCAATTGGAGTTTTAATTGTGTATTGGTGCTTCTAGATTCTAGAAGCAGAAATGTATTCTTTTCATGTTTGAAGCATGTGTATACGACATGGATAATACTTGTCCAGCAAGCTGAGATGGTCTTCGGCTCCTGCAGTTCAGGGTTTCTGTAAACTGTTTGTGACATCCATTAAGTGACTTTTCTAAGTTCTCAATTTTACATATGTACAAATGAGACGTATAATGACCTTATTGAGTTGCATTTGTTGCATGCTTTTGTTTGATAGCATGGTATTTGTAACAGTTTGTCAGTTAAGCATGTATATTTTTTTTCCTGTCCTCTGAAAGAGAGAGTCATTATTTATGTGTGATTTTGTCTTGCATTTGGGAGTCCGAAATATATCGAGGTAAATTCTTAGAAGCTAATAGTTTGATGAAAATCACAAGATGTGAAGTAATTCTCTCTGTTTTTTTATTTAGTTGTATGTCACTAAAGTAGTTACTTATATATTAAAAGAAAGAATAACTGGAGTAATTCACGCATTTGAGATAATGTAGCTGGTGACAATGTTTCATTTATTTTTCCCTAAATATGTTGGTTTTTCAGCCATTGCCAGTCCCAAACCCGAATGAGAAAAAGAGGAGGGCTGTGTTAGGTTGGTAGCCAACATAAAACTTTTGCCACATCCCTATCGTGAGCTGATCCCAAATAGTTGGGATATGGCTTGAATGATGATGATACAAAATTTCATGCATGTATTTTTTCATTAGGTTAACACAATCAATTTTAAGATGTAATTTCTGTAGAAGATTTGAAAGAGAGAAGATCATGTGTTCTCAATCCGTATCCTTTCCATAACTATTGTTTGATAATCATTTTTTTATACTTTAATGCTTATTATATCATTATAACCAGTGATTCGAAATTGGAATTGACTACTGACTTTGTAGGGGTTTGATTTTGAGTACTGCCTTTCGTCGTCATCATCATTATCATCATCATCATCATCAAAGTCTTTTCCCAACTATTGGGGATCGCTAAGAAAATTTAAAACATAAAACTAGAAAACCAGGTGACGTGGGCGCGATTCCAGCCTCCATATCTTGTTTTACTTGGAAATTATTGCTTGTAACTGTTTTATTTTCATTTAAATATTCAGTAATATTTTTATTTATTTCTTTATGAAATGGACTTTTATGTGTGTTTTTAAGCATTCATATTTTATGACATTTAACTTACAGGTAATCAAAATTTCGATAATAGTAACAAGATTTCGAACTCTTTGGTATGTTCTCATCTATAATGGTGTTTTTATCTCGAGCCTGTTGTTCTATATATTGTTAATAAATTTATTGAAAGTTAATTTCCTTTTTGATTCCATATCACATTTTTATTCAAATAATTGTACCTGACTTATGGACCAAGCAGGGACGCTCTTTGCCCATTGATTCAAACATCCGTGACTTTTCGTTGCTAAGGAGGTTTGGAAGAGGTTGTTTTATCTTATTCTTGCAATTGATTTAAGTTTGCAGTTTTAACGTTGTAGTTTTAGTTTTCTAATAACTTTCTACTTTTATAACATTTGTATTGCTTTCTCTCTAGAGAAACTTTGGTCGGAACAATGATGCATTTGTTTTTTAATAAAAAAGGAATGAAAGACAATGATTGTGTAGGTTTTTAATGTTTTTGCTATTTTTACTGCTAGTTTATTGGAGTCTTTGGATTTGACTTTTTTGCTCTTCATAGTAGAAGAAAATAATTAAGAGTGTGATTTATTATTTTTGATCTTGTTCAAATAAGATCATAATCAGGTCTCTCAATTGAAGGAGCATAAAAGAGATTCAGAAGTGCATTTTGGTTCGGACACTATAAGCTCTAGTCAACAATCAAGAGACTGGGATAAGGATAATAGGAATGACAATGAGGATGACTGGGAAGATAATGTTGAATTCGAGGACGATAATCTACTTGCTTCTAGGGAACCTATGGGAAAGGTGACAGATGACTTTTTAAGGCCAAATGTTAGTGTAAACCAAGGTGGTTTTGACGAAGGAAATGCAAAGCACAAGCTTGAGAAGCAAACACGTAAGAACTGCTTTTATTATTGTTGCTCTTTCTATTTTTTTTGTTGGTTATTTTGTGTCTTTCAAAAGTAATAAAAGTTCTCTAGTTTATTCTTTTATAGGTCCCCTTGTTATTTATACTTGATTTGGATTCTTTTCATGTCTCTTCATGTAATCTCCATTCTAGCTATTTCGAAAAGAATTTGAAATTTTTTTATGGGATTTTATAGGCGGTGATTCTTAGTATGTTGTTTAATTGTCTTTGGCATACTTGAGAATGCATTGAGTATAATAGCTTTTGTTATGATACATGTGAGTTCTGATAGATTTCATATATACCAGTTAATGACTTAGGATAAGATGGTGAAATTTGTTAACACCATAATTTTAGTTTTATAATAACTTTTTATTTTTGGTAACATTTGTGTTGCTTTTTCTCTGGAGAAACTTAGGTGGGAACAATGATTTATTTGTTTTTTACTACATAAAAAGAATAAAAGATAATTGTTGTGTAGATTTGTAATGCTTTTCTGGTAGTTTATTAGAGTCATTGGATTGACTATTTTGCTCTTTATAATAGAAGAAAATGTATCGAGTGTGACTATGTTATTTGTGATCTTGTTCAAATAAGTTCATAATCAGGTCTCTCCATTGAAGGAGTATAAAAGAGATTTAGAAGTGCATTATGGTTTGGATACTACAAGCTCTAATCAGCAATCAAGAGATTGGGATAAGGATAATACGAATGGCAATGAGCATGATAGGGAAAATAATGTTGAATTCGAGGAAGGTGGTCTACCTTCTTCTAAGGAACCCATGGAAAAGGTGAAAGTGACTTTTTAGGGCTCAATGTTAGTGTGAACCAAGATGGTTTTGGTGTAGGAAGCCCAAAGCAGAAGCCTGGGAGGCAAACATGTAAGAATTACTTTTATGATTGTTGTTTGTCTGTATTTGTGTATTGGTTGCTTTTATGTCTTTCAAAAGTAATAGAAGTTGTCTAGTTTATTCTATTTGTGGCTGCGTTTGTTATTTATACTTGATTTAAATGCTTTTCATGTCTCTCCGTGTAATCTCTACTCTAGCTGTTTCAAAATGATTTTGAAATATTTTAATGGGATTATATATGGTGCTTCTTGGTATGTTGTTGTTTAATTGTCTTTGGCGTACTTGAGAGAACTCTTTGAGTATAATAGCTTTTGTCATGCTACATGAGTTTCAATATATTTCTTGTATATTATAATGATTTAGGATAAGATAATAGCATTTTCTAACACCATAGTTTTAGTTTTATAATGGCTGTATTTTTTTGTAACATTTGTGTTTCTTTATCTCTAGGGAAACTTAGGTGGGAACAATGATGCACTTGTTTTTTATTATAAAAAAAGATTGAAAGATAATGGTTATGTAGATTTGTAATGTTTTTGCTACTAGCTTATTTTGGTCATTGGATTGACTTTTTTGCTCTTCATAATAGAAGAAAATACATAGTGTTTGACTCAGCTATTTGTGATGTTGTTCACCTAAGATCATAATAAGGTCTCTCAATTGAAAGAGCGTAAAAGAAATTTAGAAGTGCATTTTGGTTTGGACACTATAAGCTCTAGTCAATTATCAAGAGATTGGGATGAGGATGATAAGAATGGCAATGAGGATGATGGGGAAAATAATGTTGAATTCGAGGAAGGTAGTCTACTTTCTTCTGAAGAAGCCATGGGAAAGGTGACAAATGACTTTTTAAGGACAAATATTAGTGTGAATCAAGATGATTCTAGCGAAGGAACCCCAAAGCACAAGTCTGGGCGACAAACACGTAAGAATTGCTTTTATGGTTGCTATTCTTTCTGTTTTTATTTGTTGGTTATTTTGTGTCTTTCAAAAGTAATAAAATTTGCGTGGTTTATTCTTTTCTGGTCCCTCTGTTATTTATACTTGATTTGGATGCTTTTCATGTCTCTTTGTGATCTCCACTGTAGTTGTTTCAAAAGATCTTGAAATATTTTTATGGGAGGATTTTGTAGGTGTGCTTCTTAGTATAATTTTCTTTGGCATACTTTGGGACAATTCCAATATGTTTCATGTATAACAGTTAATGACTTAGGATAAGACAATTGCTTTGTTAAAATTGCCAAACTGGTTAACAAGCTGAAATTGAAATGAAATCTAACAGATTTCCATAATTCATTAGGTTAACTAACCTAATGAATTCTCATTAGGTTAACTAACCTAATGAATTCTCATTAGGTTAACACACTCAATTTTAGGATGTAATTCATTTTTGTGGAAAACTACAAAGTGAGGTTCTATGTTCTCAATCTCTATCCATTCCATAACAGTTGTCCCATAGTGCTTGCTTTAAACTTCCATGCTTCTTGTTCTATTGTATCCGGTATATGAAAAATAGGAATTGGGTACCGACTTTGTAGGGATTTGATTATGATTTCTTGGTCCAAGTAAAGAAATACCGAGTTAGGCAATGCTACATTAATGGAAAATAAAAAACCAGGAGACTCGGATGATTAATGGTTGTTGCCGCCTGGAATTGCCAGCCCCCTAATTTAGTTAATGACTTAGGATAAGATAATGGACTTCGTTAAAATTGCACAACTGGGTACCAAGCTGAAATTGAAACTAAATCTAACATGTCTCCATAACTCATTAGGTCAACTAATCAAATGAATCGCAATAGGTTAACACTCAATTTTAGGATGTAATTCATTTTTGTGGAAAGCTAGAAAGTGAGGTTCTATGTTCTCAATCTCTATCCATTCCATAACTATTGTCCAATGTGCTTTCTTTAAACTTCTATGCTTCTTCTTGTGCTTTGGTATCTAGTGTTTGAAAAATAAGAATTGTGTACCAACTCTGTGGGGATCTGATTCTGATTCTTGGTCCAAGTCAAGCAATCCCGACATAGACAATGCTATTATTATTCATAGAAAAATAATTCGGTAGACTCGGGCGATTCACGGTGGTTGCGGCTCGAAATTGCCAGTCCCTTACTCCAGTCCTACTTAGTAATCATTGGTTGTATCTTTCCCTATTCATTTAGTTTATCTAGTTATAAATTGATTCTTCTATGTAGGATTTTGAGTATTCATGATTTATGAATTTTAACTTGTAGGTAATCAGAATTTTGATAATAACAACAAGGTTTTGGATTCTTTGGTATATGTTCTCATCTACAATGATGCTTTTGACTCTAGCCTTTTGTTCTATAATGTGGCCATGAAGTTTAATGTGAGCTAATTTTCTCTTTGTTGTGTATTATTAATTTTTTATTTGAATAAATGCGCATGACTTATGGATCAAGTAGAGAAGCTCTTTGCCCATTGCTTTAGAGGATTGCAACTTTTTGTTGCCATGTAGATCTCGAAGAGGTTGTCCACTTGTTCTCTTGTATTCTTGTAATATTTTTCTTTGGCACTAATTTGAGTTTTCATTCTTTAAAACCATAATTTTGATTTTATAATATTTTTGAATTTTCTGCAACATTTGTATTGGTTTGTCTCTTGAGAAAATTTTGGTGCTATCATTGATGCAGTTCCTTATTCTTTAAAAAATAATAAAAGATAATGGGAATGTGCATTTGTAATGTTTTTGTTGCTACTTCCTTTGAGTAATTGTATCGACATTTTTTTTCTTCAAAATGCAAGAAGTTAGAGTGTGACTCTATTTATTATTGGCGACCTTGTTCAAATAAGATCATATTCAGGCCACTCAACCTAAGGAGCATGAAAGAGATTCAGAAGTGCATTCTGGTTTAGACTCCACAGGCTCTAGTCAACAGTCAAGAGACTCAGATAAGCATAACATGAAGAGGGACAAGGATAATAGGGAAATCAATAAAATGGTCAAGGAAGGCAGTCCACTTGTTTCTGGGAAACCAATGAAAAAGGTTACAAAGGACTTTGCATGCAGCTGTTTATGTAATGAAAAGGCGCCTAAGGTAAAACATTCAAGGCCAATTGTTAGGGTGCACCGAGATAGCTTTGGTAAACGACTCCCAAAGCACAAACCCAGGAGGCAAACACGTAAGAATTGCTTTTATGATTCTTGCTCTTCCTGTTTTTACCTGTTGGTTATCTTTTGTGTTTCAAAAGTAATAATAGTTGTACAACCTATTCTTTTAGCTCCCTTTCGTATTTATTCTTGATTTTGGAGGGTTAAATTTTTTATTTTCATTTCTCTTTGTGCAATCTCCAGTCTAGTTCTTGTAGAAAAAAATAGAAGTATTTTAATGGGAATTGTATAGTTGGTGCTTCTTTGTATGTTTGTTGTTTAATTTTATCTTTAGCATACTTGAGAGCATTCTTTGAGTACAAGAGCTTTTGTTATGCTGCATGTGAGTTCAATATATTTCATATATACTAGTTAATGATTTAGGATAAAATTATGGCCTCTGCTAAAATTGCAGAATTGGTTAACTAGCTGAAATTGAAACTAAATGCATTTCCTTGTTCTTTAGGTTAACTAAAATCTGATGAATTCTCATTGGTTTAACACAGTAAAATCTTAGGATGTAATTCATTATGTAGAAAACTAGAAAGAGAAAGGTCCTATATTCTCTATCTCCATCCATTCCATAACTATTGTCCCATAGTGCTTTCTTTAAACTTCAATGCTTCTTGTGTTGTATCAAGTATTTGAAAATTTGGGACCACGTACTGAATCTGCAAAGGTTTGATTCTGATTTCTCTGTCCAACTCAGATGATCCAACGTAAGACAAGGCTATATTACTAAAAAAAATTTAAAAATAAAAAACTTGGAGGTTTAGGCGATTCAGGATTTTTCCATTCTAGAATCATAAGCCTCCTAATCCAGTCCAACTTGGGAATGACATGTTGTATCTGTCCATATTCATTTTGTTTATTTATTTCTTTATCAATATATTCTTTTATTTAGCCGACCCCAAATAGTTGGGATAAGGCTTGGATGATGATGATGAATTGATTCTTTTATTTGGGATTTTAAGCCATGAATCTTAACTTACAGGTAATCAGAATTTTGAGTATAACAACAAGGTTTCGAACTCTTTGGTATGTTCTCATCTAGAATAGTGCTTTTGACTCTAGCCTTTTGTTCTGTATATGGTCACCAAGTTTAATGAGAGCTAATTTTCTCTTTGATTCTATATCGTTAATTTTTTTGTTTGATCAAATGCGCTTGACTTATGGATCAAGCAAGGAAGCTCTATGCCCATTGATTCAGAGGACCATGAATTTTTGTTCCCAAGGAGGTCTCAAAGAGGTTATCCTCCTATATTTTTTCAATTCTTTTCTTTGGTTTGAGTTTTCATTCGTTAAAACCATAATTTAGTTTTATACTATTTTTATATTTTCTATAACATTGTATTGGTTTATCCTTCGAGAAAATCTTGGGCTTAACAATGATGCACTTGTTTATTCTTTAGAAAGGAATAAGAGATAGTGGGTATGTAGATTTGTAATAATTGTTGCTGTTAAAATACAACACTCTAGTTGGTTGAGAATTAAGACAGTGTAGAGAAGATCAAGAATTATGTGTGTGTGTGTGTGTGTGTGTGAGAGAGAGAGAGAGAGAGAGAGAGAGAGAGAGAGAGAGAGAGAGAGAGAGAGAGAGTAGTAGTGTAGTAGTAAGAAGAAGGAAAGGAAAAGGTAAGGGTAAGGGTAGGTAGTACGTACGTACCGTTACCCGTTACCCGTACCCCG